ACGCGTCCTTCCTCTTACTCTTCTTCTCTTCTTGTTTCTCTTCCCTTCTTTTGTAAAAATATTGTTCTCTCTCGGGCGCTCTATCCCTCTCTGTTTCTCGCGTTAGCTTTGCGGCTAGATGAAAAAAAATGAGTGGGCGGAATGAAATGGCAGGGGGAGATGTGAAGGGGTAGCGAAGAGAGCGGAAGCGCATCGTTCGCGAAAGCTTATTTCTCCACGCTCCTTCGGCAAGAACGGATAGATCTCCTTTATCACGCTCGCAATATACACCACGAAGGTAGCTGTTACTCGCAAAGGTATCCCGGATACGAAGCACGCTGCTTTTAGAAATATCGTCTCCGCTAACCGACGACGCCGACTACGACGATGCCGACGGCGTTGACGGCGGGCGGCGGCGACGGCGGTCGACGCGCTCGACGGGCGGTCGTCGCGACGCACTCGTGGGGCACACAACGCTTTTTCTTGCCTCATATTATTGTTTCACCGCGATATAAGCTCGCTTGCCTGACGGCAGCAAGCTTCGCGAGAGAGTAAACGCGCCAGTCAAACCGTGACGAAGCGATGTGCTCCCTTTTTTACATCTTAGCCGTGTTCCTGCATTCCCCCCATTTAGCATGTTGCATCAAATGACACGATTCTGCTTCACGAATGCAATTTGCGAGTTATTTTTATACTAAACCAAATTAAATCCTACGCTCGGTTACATAGGATTTACGCTCCTATTAATCGCAAGCTCGCAGTATAAAATGTAAAGATATTATCTGGGTATATATTTATGCAAACGTCCTAAAAAATATTTGAAAAAAGTATTGCAAATAATAAAAATTCATTGAACATTTTTGGTTCATATATTTGGAAAGTTGGATAAACGATATGTTTAGTTTCGTCTAAATAATGGCAACGGACTATCATGTATCTTCTCTCATTATAATGATATTGATTAAATTATGATGCGATAGAGTATCAGATTGTCTTTCAATACACTGTGCCAACGTATCGATTATATGATGAGAAACTAACAACAGCTGGGTCAGTTTCTCAATAAAGAATTCATATAGGTGCAGATTCACTAAAAATAACAGTCAACGTGTAATCTCATATGAATCATGACATGCATGACTGTGCAAATGTCATTCATTCAATTCGATTATTATTCATGCTGTGATTTTACTGAACGCGCTATATTATTCATAGAATTATATAAACAAACTGTTCTCTAGGGTCTTGATTTATTGTATTGTTTAATACAGTTATCGAATTTTTATAAAGTACTACAAGGTGTTGTAAAGTTTTATTATGCTACAACTGTGACATTGCCTAGAAATAGTCTCTCCAAGGAAAAATATTTAATTGATAAAAAATATTTCAATCGTAATATATTCTAAAATTCAAAGAATTGAAGTAACATCGAAACATTGCTACGAAAGTATTGCTCGATACATCATTTACACTATAAATCGTATAATTTGAACAGGCTCGTCACGCGTCTACTCTTTTTCTCTCAGGAATACTTATAAAAATCGTAATCATAGTTTTGTAGCGGATGTCTCCTCCGAGACGCCATTCCAACCCTCCTTCGGTAACCTTTGACCTCGCGCAAAATATTCACCGGGTCCGTTTGTGAAGGATTCCTTAATAGTATTGTCGGTGACGGGGGAACGGAAAAAGGGGGAGGAGGAAGGAGAGGCACACCATTTTCAGCACGTTTGTCCTCGCATAGAAACACCCTTTTACGATTCTGCCGCCAAGCTCTGCGAATCACTCTCGGGAATTCAGATTTTATAGACCTTTTGCTGCACGAGCGAAGCCGCTCGGACCAGAAAATTACGCGGCACTGTGTTCCGCCACGTTCAAATGGAATCTTTAACGAAACGATTTAAGCAGTCGCAGATTTTCCTGTGTGGTATATATTCAGCCGTTACGCGAATCATATTTATATTCGACCCATTCGCCATTCGCTATAATTTCCATTTCCCATTTTATTTTTTTGATGGTCTTTAGAAAAAGATTCGAGAAATTAAGTTGCATGAGATTCAGAATTTGTTATATATGTGCGACACATTCCCGAGCGTTTTCTAGTTTGTCTTTTACGCGGTACAAGGCACTTCCGTAAACATAGCGAAATAATTGAAGGACTCTTACGCGCAGCTGCAGCGGCGGCGCGCGAAATAATTCCAGGTCGCCGTAAGAAAATTAGATTCGCACCAAACAGAAGTTAGGAGACGAAAATGGAAAAAGCTGGCTCTGAAAGCTTTTGGATGTAGCTGTTTAAAGCGCTGTTTTATATCCCCGTTTTATACACCGATTCACGGGACGCAAATCCGCTTGCACAAATCGCGCCATTGGCTTACAGTTTCTTCTCTCCCTCCCTTTTCTCATTTCCATCTGTCTCTACGCGCCAGACATCAGAAGCCAGTAATACAATCAGTCATGCTAATCAAACCCATAGCTTTCCACGCATTATATTTCTTTTGCGATACATATTTGCAATTGAATTGTCATAATTGTGACATATTTATCATTATCGACGAGTTCGAAATGATATAAATATCCTTTCTGAATATATTTTTTTATTTTGTTATATTTATTCATAATGGCTAACGATCAAATTCGAAAAATATTATTTCATAATTCGAAAACAAAAATTTATATATAATAAGTTATTAAAT